GTAAAGGATATTTGCCAACAAAAATGAGAATAGGGAAGTTCAGAGGGAATGTTTTTGTTACCTCTCACAGGTTAGCAGCAAGCAGAGCCCTCAGGATTTCAGGAGTTGAAGATGGAAGGAGCCAGACAGTTCATCAGGCTTTGAGGAAGGATTTCCTCAGCTCTTCACAGATTTTCTATCATTATTAACTTTAGGACTGATGAGTACCAATGTCCCATTTCACCTCCACTTTAGACTCTAAAATTGAAGTCTTCAAACCAACAAACCCAGCTTGTTTTAGGACTTGCTAACCCTTAAAAGACCATTGCCCAAGAGATCCACCTCCAGCTCTGCTCCTGGCCATGCCCAGACCTGAAATTCAACCTCAGCACTCACCTGTGCCACCCTTCACTGTGACCTGACCCCTCTCACTGCACCACAGGATTTACATCCCCTGCCATCCCCAAAACTCTGAGCCAGGGGTCCAAACCCCCTCTGAGAGCTCATCCATCTCTGTCAGGTGTGGGTTGTCCTCTCCACATCACCCTGAGCTTCCACCAGGAGGGCTCTGAGCTCCTGGAGCTCCTCAGGGGTTCCTCAGGTTGAAATCCACGCCGAGCACAAATCCAGGAGTCTCCATGGTCCCATCACCTTCCCCAGGCACTTGGTGTCTTCCTGCTGGTAGGTTCAGATGGATTATATAATATACAATATACAACATACAATCTACTGTATATTGTATATTGTATATTGTATATTGTATATTGTATATTGTATATTCTACATTGTATATTCTACATTGTATATTGTATATTATATATATAATGTTATGTATATATACAAATATATTTATGAAAACTATTTTATATATAATATACAACACGTATGTATAATATTATACAATATATAATGTGACGTATATATAATATATATGTATATAACTATGGATATATATACAAATATATAATATATGATATGTATATATATAATATATATATTTTTATATATATATATATATACACAAATATATACATATTAAAACTATTCTTTGAATAAATATTCATATACATATGGGAATACATAAATATTCCCATTTATATAAATATATAAATCCATGCCGAGCACAAATCCAGGAGTCTCCATGGTCCCATCACCTTCCCCAGGCACTTGGTGTCTTCCTGCTGGTGGGTTCAGATGGAGAAAGGAGGAAAAGCTAAAAGAAGGCAAAGTTGCACAGTTAAAGCCCAGGGGGAAGGAGAGGCACGTTTCCAATAGGATCACAATGCTCCTTTGCTGGAATAAACCAAAATTCCCCTCCAGCAGTGCCACAATGTCCCCACGACACACAAGCACCTCTGTGCTGACATTGTAAAGGCAGCAGGACTTTTCTTGAGCAGCCAAACCTCTGACTTCCTCAATTCCTTTCATTTCTAGGCATATTGAAACTGGGCTCTGAGAGTCAATATTGCCAAACTAGACAGAGTGATGTGATTGAAAAGACCCTCAGTTAATAAAACTGTCACTCAGCAGCACAAGGAGGTATCTATGAGGGAAATTTTGAAATTGTACTCTTTTTGGGCAACTGTCATTTGCTCTTAGAAATTACATTTAAAATTAATGTTTGCTGTGGAACTTATAAATATTTGTTCAGGCTAGCATGAAATATGCCCGGGATAATTTTAGCGTGCACGCATCAGATTTTCATTTCACATCAGAGGAGACTTAAAGTGAGTCTGTTCCCTTCACTGCCAATGGAGTCTTCATCCCTGGGAGACAGATCCTCCTCCTCCCTGGGGAGCCTTGCCTGCTGCCTCAAGGCTTGGGGGATCAAGGCTGACACAGCTGAGAGCTGGCATTGTTTTCCTCCTCGTTTCACTGGGAGAAACTGGGAGAAACTGGGAGAAACTGGGAGAAACTGGGAGCCAAGAGTCTCCTGGAGTCAGATCAGGGACAAGCAGGACCTTCTGTTCCCAGGATCTCCAACTCAAAGCAATTACAGAATTAAATATTCCAGGTCATTTAAACTCATTTAAATCCCAAGCACAACCTCATCACCAAAGATGGGGCAACACAAACTCCCTGTGATGCTGGGACAGATGTTCAGAGAGCAGTGGGATGGAGAAGTGGAAGGATTTGGAGGGATGAGCATCTCCAGAGAGTTCCTCAGAGCCATTCCCATGAATTCAGGGTGCTTGGGATCAGCCCTTCACATCTTTGAGGGCCTGCCCATGGCCACATCAGTGTGTGGGAGTTTTGTGTCTCTGCTCTGGTTGTAGGAGATCCCTGACCCACCACAGCAGCAAACAAGCCTCTGAATTTGGGGCTGGGGTCACTTTCCTTCCTGGTTCCTGCAGAGGAAACACTTGGTAGCTCATTATTGGTTTGGTTTATAAATACCCAGAAATGGATAAGGAGCATTTTGTATTCCCCAATGTCTGATGGACAGGAACGTCTCCGCCACCACGGAATCACTGAAGTTGGAAAAAACCTTAAAAATCATCAAATTTCAGTCATTAACCCAGCATCTCCAGGTCCATCCAGACCTTGATGATGGTCTCCAACCAACAACAACTCAATTCTGATTTCCCCAACTGGATTTCTACAGTATCTGAGGTTTTTCTCCTCTCCAGCCACCTGCAGTATCAGCTGAGACATCTCACTTCATTCTCTCCACTTGCTGCCTCTCTAGCAGTGACATTTTAATGACAAAAATTCTGCCCCTTGGCACCTTTAATCCTTATTCTGATTGTGCAGCTCCAAAACATCCACCAGCACAAACCTGGGCAGCATTTCCAGTTCTGCTTTTGCCAGAGCAGCTCACAGACACTCCAGTGCATTTCACACAGCCCAGGGCTTGGTCTAGGCAGTAAGAGAAGAGTTTCTGGGATCATTCCCTGGCCCTGGAATGAGGCAGACAGGGACACCTTCATCCTAAAAAAATTCCCTTAACATTCAGAACATGTGAGTCAAATCTTATGGGTCTATTTGGAATATTTCCTGCCCCACACTAACCCCAAAATGTGACTAAAATCTCTTTAGGGCTGGGTAAATTGGCTGGGTCAGCTCCACACCAGGGTCCATCTTCATGTTTAAAAACATGGGCAGTAAATGTCAAGATGTGGGGAAGATTTCCAGCTAGTGTTAAATTTACAGCTTAAATCCACGTGTCCCCAAATGTCATTGGACAATTGCTGCTTTCTTAGACCCAGCTCAATAAAACCCATCTGGGTTCCAGGAAGATTTGCCAGGACAGACTACACCCAAAAGAACAAGAATATTTGGGATTCAAAGGCCCCCGAAAGAAAAAAAAATATTTGGGATTCAAAAGCCCCCAAAAGAACAAGAATATTTAATATCTATGGTGGGTCACAGTCTGGAAAGGCCATAGGAGAAATTTGGCCTCAAAGTCCCTGCAGCAGGAGCAGGGAGGGATGGAGAGGGAAAATATCAGCAGGTGGTGTCCTTCCTTGGGTGTGCCATGGCCAGGACAGCACCCACCCTTTCTGAGAGCGGCAGTGCCCAAACTCAGCACCCAAACACCAAAATCAGGCAGAACTGGCAATGCAGAATGTCAGAACTCGCAATCCAGAATGGCAGGAGCAAGAGGCAGGTGCATCACAGGGTCATGGAATGGTTTGGGTTGGAAGGAACCTTAAAGATCATCTCATTCCACCCCTGCCATGTCCCAGAGTGCTCCAACCTGGCCCTGGGCACTGCCAGGGATCCAGCCACAGCTTCCCTGTGCCAGTGTGTGATTACACACAACAAGGAATTTGTTTTTGCCCAAAGCCTTAAGATCCAGAGGAGGTCTGGAGCTCTCAAAACCATTCCCAAGACAGGACCTTGAATCTCCATTGCTGCCACAGCTCTGAAACAAACTGATTTGTTGGCTGCTCCTGAAGCACCTGATCTCGAGCTGGTCCCACCCCAGGGCAGCAACAGAGCTGTGGTTGCTGAGATGCTTTAGGGGAAACAGCAACTTGTTTGGCTGCTCCCATTTCTTTGTCCCATTCTGTCGAGTCATCTCCTCTGGCTGCACAATAGCTCCTGTTCAAACAGGCTCTCTACTCTATAACAAGGATTTTTTAAGTAAAATCTTTGTTGGGTCTGTTTGCAAATCATTAAACTGATTAGGGTTTTTTTTTTTTAGGGTTATACGTGTGGGGTTTTGATAATATTTTCATCTCCCTGCATCCAGAGATGCACTTCACAAGCAATCTATCCTTGGGACATGTCCCCATCTGCCTGCTCCCCTCTCACCATGACATGGCATTTTTTTCTCAATAGAAATCCAGGCTGCCCCTGCTCCCCCCTCCATCCATCACCCCCACATGCTGAAAACCTGGAAACTGCAGGCTTAATTTCAACTTTATCACCAGTTTTGCCCACATTACCACAAGCAGAGGGGTTTTCTGCCCCTCTGTGCCCCCATCCCTGTCCATCTTGTTATGTTTGCCCAATTATCCCATTAAAAAAACACCCAAACAATATTTGAGATAGCAGCAATTTTAATTAAATAGTTTAGAAAATATATATTGGCAATATAATTTGATCCTTACCCTGCGGTTATCTTTTGCTTATGCGCTATTATTGGAACCAAATTATCCCTTGTTTTTAATCAAATTATTTTGTCAATACATATTTTCTAAACTGTTCAATTAAAATTGCTGCTACCTCAAATATTGTTTGGTTTTTTACAATGGGATAATAGAGCACACATAACAATCTGAAGAACAAGTTCTGTCTCACTCCTTGTGTGAGATTAAGCCACCCCTCACCACAGCCACCCTTCATCCTTACCTTGAATTCCTGGAATTCAGGGGCAGCACATCCTGAGCTCCAAGTGAAAAAATTTTTAAAAAAATTGAAAAAAAATTAAAAATTGAAAATCCTCGCCCCAAATGGCAGTGCCCCAGTGGAGTGTGGTGCACAGAGGGTTTGTCCGTGGCAGCCAGGCTCGGAACAAAGTTGTGGGGTGGAGGGGGAGGAGAGGGTGATTGACAGCCCTGGGCTGAGCCTCATCCCTCACCTTGGGCCATGCGGTCTGATTGGCCGCCTGCTGACATCCCCGAGCCCTGCACTTTTTAATAGAACGCTTTTGGATGATCTACGGGGGGAAAGGCTTGGAGAGGTGTGTTTCTGACAAGCCAGGAAAAGTCACCCGAGCCACCAGGGACTTGGCTTCACTCTTTTTTACCCCCCCTCCTTTTTTTTTTTTTTTTTTTTTTTCCTTGGGAGGAGGGGGATTTCTTCATTTTGGCACTTCATGTTTTTCTGAAAACTTCGCGGCGATTTTTTCCCCCTTGCACCAGCCTGGACTGATGGATTACCACCTGCTTGGACTAATTCTGTCTTTTCTCTTCAATGGCACAAAGGTCTTAGCCGGTTACCCAATTTGGTGGTAAGATTCCTTCCTCCCCTCGCCCTTCCTCTCCCTATGATTGATTAATGAATTCATTAATTATTAGCCATGGGAGCTGTGTGTTCCCTTCCTTTTCACCCCTCGCCCTGCGGAGCTGCATGCTGGAGTCGAAGCGTAATTTCTTCAGATTTGACCTGTAATTAATGAAATCTGTGGAAAAGTTTGGGGGTTATTTTGAAAGGGCCATGCCTGGGTTTCCCTTTGCACAAATGGAGGCTTCCCTACCACTCTTTAATTTCTCCATTTTCGGCACTGTGGCGATGGGCTCTTGGTTCAGATGTGAAAGGATGTGGTTTTATTTCCTTGTGTAATGGGAATTTTGCCTCTCCCATCACTCTGCCACAGGGATTTTCTTCCTTTCCATGAAACTGCAATTAATCCTTAAAAAAAAAATAATTTAATTCTATTTTCTGTTTGGTTGCTGCGTTTTTTTGGACTTCTTTCCCTTCTTTTGTTGTATTCTGTCATGTGAATTTAGTCCGGTGAATAACGCAAATGGCACCTGAGAAAACATTCATTAGGAAAATTGCTCAAAGGTGGATTTTGTTCATTTTAATTATGGAAATGTCGCTAATTTCCTTGCACCAACGAGAAAAATAGATTTTAAAAGAATTGGTTGTATCTTGGAATGAGGCTGGTAAGTAACCTGAGTTACTTATTTTAAAAATAAATCCAACTCTATAGAAATGAATACAGTGACAAAATGCAATTGGAAGCCCTTTAGAACAAGAAATATAGAATTAAACATTCCAGGTCATTTAAATCCAGCAGCCAGCGAGTTGCATAACAGAATAATTCAGTTTATTTCTGTCTTTATGGAGGATTTCTTGCTGGAATATCTCTTGTTAAGTTTCTGTGTGTGCCAGGTAGGGGCTGTGAGCCTGATGATCCATAGGGAAAAGAGGGAGATGGTGGAATTTGGTGCTGCTGAGATTCTTGGGTTATTTTCGCCTTTCCAGAAAAGTCTCTCTTCTTTATTCCTGAATTAGATCCTTTCAGTGCCAACATGGAGATGGCAAGAAGTAGGTGGGAGTGAACTTGGGAATGGACTGCCATATCTGGGAATATTTAGAATTCAGGACAGGAAAATACGAATTTTTAAATTTTCTTTTAATAATCCATTTATTAGCGTGGACTTTGGGATGAGAATTTGCCTTTCCAGAGGAGAAAGACAGAGAGCACAATGAGAAGTCCCCGCTCAGGAAGCGTTTCAGAGCTCCGCAGGTTCATGAAATGGCTAAATCACAGCAGGTTTTCCTGGAGAATTAAATGATTTCCTCGCCCTGAGCGTGGCTGCCCAACTTCAGGCCCTCAGCCCTGGCCAGGGGAGGCTCCTGAAACACAGAGAGCAGCACTTTGATTCCTTCCATCCCTTTTCTGCCCCACATGGGCACCGCTGGGCACAGGTCGGGATGCCAGGGCTGGAGCAGGGACACCTCAAATGGCATCAGCTCATCCCACTGAGCTGCCTCAGCCTTTGATATAAACCAGGATTTAATGCCCAAATCAAGGAGGGTTTCAAGTCTCAGAGCGTTTCAAGTCTCTTTTCTCTTCCCCTTGAAAATGTCTCGTTTTCCCCCCGTGAAGCAAAAATATCCCCCGTGAGCAAAATGTCTCCTGTGCCCGTTTTCAGGAGCAAATGCTGCTGCACACAGGTGTGTACCCCACCATCCCCTCCTCCCAAACCCCTCTGAGCTCACCCCAAAGGAACAATACAGAGGATGTAGGGCACGGACAGCAGGGGCATGGCAAGCAGCATCCCTGGGAGACGAGGGAGTCGAGCACACTCCGCACAGAATTTCCTCCACAGATCCAGGCTTCGTGTATTTTTATGTATTTTTATAGATTCTGGCAGCACCAAAGTGCCAGAGAGTGTCTAGGGGTGTGAGGAGTGCCCCATGTAGGGTGAGGTTGCAGATGCTGTGGGGTTTTAGGGGTTTCTTGAAGGCTGAGGGAGCAGAAGGGCAGAAATACCTGGGCCACAGTTCAGGGACAGACAATGCTCCCAAAGCACAGAAATTCAAGGTCTCCTTTGGTCCTATGGAAGGCTTTTCAATATCTGCTCTGTGGGAATGAGGTTTATGTGGTGGATTCTAGCATGGTGATATCTATCTTTAAAAAAATCATCATTTTCCAATTGCCTTCCTGATCCTCTGCTCTTGAGGCCGGCACAGAGGAGGCTTTGGGGGATGAGCCCCACTTGCAGGGTTCAGCACACCCCAAAACAGGGCAAGGAGAGCAAAGGTGGGGCTCAGCATCAGCCTGGCCCCCTGTGCTGGTGTCCTGCAGGCTGCACTGGGGCTGCCCTGGGCTTCTTCACCCTCAGATAAACCGAGACTTTCAGGGGGACATTTCATGTGGCAGAGCCCCAAGGATGCTGACAGGCAGCTCCCTGTCCTGCTGGCACCACCTTCCTGAGGATTTTCCTGCTGGATAGGGAATATTTTGGCAGCAGCATCCAAACAGATCCTTTCTGCTGTGGGACAGAAAGGAGAAAATTTATTTATTTATTCCTGTGGTGGGGAAAAAGTGTCTGTGTGTGCCCTAAGAGAAGGAGAATGATGAGAATGGGGTCTGATCACTTA